TTTCTGTGCCTCAAGAGCCATTGGTAAAATGAAGTTTGTTTTAATGATTGAACTCTTGAGGCAACCCCTCCAGAAAGTATTGTTTCTGAGCATTTGCTTCTCCATGGTGGATGTCATTCGAATCTGAGATGAACTGGGATCCAGTTTCCTCGTGTGTTCCTCAGTGTTTCTCTCTCCAAAACACTTTCTTTTCAATATTGATGCATTCTCATTGGGCAAAGCTACCTGTCAATGTACATTCCTCTGCTAATGATATGCAGATTTACAATAAAATTGTGGTTAAGACTATTGTCTGCATTCCTACCTAACTTTTATTAATGAAATTTTTGTGTAAGTTTTATGTTTGTGTGTAGGTATGTATCAAATGTAATTTGGTTTTTACTATGGGTTTGTGTCCCCAAAAGTTTGAAAGCCAATGGATTAGCAGGACAAGGAGGATCTACTACAAGAACTAAAAAATCGAAATGGAGAGTTACAGCCCCGCTTGGAGGGCCGGCCGATGGTCCAAGTGCTCGCTGGCTAGCAGAACACGTGACTGCCTCCCGCGCTCCCATTGGCTGTACAGGAGCAGTCCTGGCTGCCCCCGAATATAAGGACCAGGGGGATTTCATGACAGCAGCAGCAGGTAGCTCTGCTGGGAGCTCTCGCTCCCGGCCATGCAGGTTGGACAGCTGAAGTCCTGCTTTCAAGTGAGAGCAAATGACAGCTTAAGCGAAGAGTGTGTTAAAGCTTTAAGAGACGTTGGAAGCCATGGAACACCTCGTTTGATATCCTGGCCAAGAAGGGTGTGTGAAAACCTCCTGGTGTCCAGGCATGGCTTGAGAGCTTCTTTCCCTTTCTCCTACCTCTACTCCTCCACTAGATAATCCTGCCTGACATGAAGGATTTGATAGGCTAAAAGTATATTGGCATTCTCAAAATTGGGACCTCTCCATTTTACATAAAGCTAATCAACATGAGGTCTTTCCCAAGCTGAAACTTGCCCGTGATTACCAAATGATATACGGTTGTTTGCGATATAGATAATGTTCCAATGGGGACCTCACTAAATATCCTCTAAAAACTCCTATTATACAAGACCTCTGGCTGAACTTCAACCCTCTGCTAAGGAGTAAAAAAGAGTGGTGCTGTATCTGCTAACTCCCTCCCCAGCTCTACTCCAAATGCTGGAATCGTAGGGCAAATTATCCTATTTACCTTATAAAAAGTTGGACAAAGTGAGGCATCAACCTATAGAAGAATGTAATTAATTAAAGATAACTGGGTTGACTGAATTTAATATCCTACTCTGGAGTGCCTACAAAAAAAAGGACAAGGTGACCATCTATTATTAAGTTCTTAGTAGCTTTTGGCTTTCTTTATAGCAGATGTTTTCCTGTGTTGGTCAATAGTATCCTATGGGTTATAAAATAAAGAAAGAAGTCTGAACAATTGATTGGCAAATTTCCCAAGCTTAAGTCAGCCTCAAGTATATGAGAAATGGTGCTACAGTGAGGGCAAATACCAAAAAAAAAAAAAACAAAAAAAAAAAACCCCAATTTGATTTTATAAAATCTATTGTAGCTTGGCTGGATGCTGCCTGAACTCCCACTGCAGAGAATGGCAAGCAGTCAGCGTACATTTCCAGACATCAATATTTAAAAAGTGTTTATCTGATAGTATTGGACAATCTCTTTAGATTTGCTATGTAAATTGCTGTTAATCCAAGAGAGTTGTTCTGTGTTTGCCCGTGCTATTTTCCCTTAGAGCTCATACTCTTAATTACAAAATTATTTTTTTTCTAACGAGAAGGCTGAAAATCTATCCTGACCAACATTTTCCAAATATTAAGTGTGATTACAGAAGTACTGAGACTTTCTAAAAAACAGACATGCCATAACTTACACATCTCAGTGAAGCCTTTTGGAAGGTTGCAAATATCATCTAACTCTATTTTCCTTGCTCAGAATATAACTGGAGCTCCTTTTTTTTTTTTGCTACATATAGTCGTATTACCTTGGGCAAGTCTTTTAAACTCTCAGAGCCTCCATTTTCCCACCAATGAAATGGAGACTTGTCTCACCAATATCTACCAGTGGAATGCAAATGCAGCATCATTTCAAAAATCTTTTTGAGGATTAATAAAATAATATATGCAAAGTTTCCAACATAGCAACTAGCTCCTAGTATCCCATGGAAGCCATGGAAGATGTCATTAGGATTTATGTATATATGCCTCCTTCTACAAGACATAAACCTTACTCTTCTGTCTGAAATAAAGTCCTCAGAAGTGAAAACAAAAAATGAAAGTACAAGGTCATCATTCTGTGCACCCATCAGCGCTGCCCCCTTCTGTCCATTTCCTGCAGTACAAAAAGTTTGCGGGTGGGGATGGTTGGCGGGGTGAGGGAGGGCATCCACCTATTATTTCTGCTTAAGGACCGTTTCAACATGTTATGCATTTAGAATTCTTTTTTTTTTTTTAATTTCAATTCCAGTATAGTTAACATACAGTGTTCTATTAGTTTCAGGAGTACAATATAATGATTCAACAATTCCATACATCACCCAGTGCTTATCGGTACAATTAGAATTCTTAATAATCTGGACTCTACCTACTCAGCCTAACTGTCATGCTGAGAATCTCCTTCATGCTCAACCATCTCATGCCTTTTTGGGTTTGAACACAGTTCCCCTCTGCTTGCAATGTCTGTCCCTGATTCTCCATCCCGCAACTCCCATGTCATTGCACTTCTTTTTCCCACTTCCACAGTGCACATTTATTCTCTTTCCCTGCTATGCTCCGGTATCACATTGTGTATTCATGATGTGTTAAGATTACTTGCTTGCACATGTATCCCCATCAATAGAGTATACAATAGTATCCCAGAGTAGAGTCCGTGGGAGACAATTATTGTTTGGAGATTGAGAGCACACACGCTAGGGTAGAACAAACCTGGGCTCTTAAGAGCCCTCTCCCAGCTTGGCTGGGCTACTTAACAACTCTAAACCTGTTTGCTCATCTGGAAAATAAGGATCCTACTAGTACCTCCTTTGTAGGCTTATTGGGAGGATGAAGCGAAATGATGGACATTCGACACTTCATTTTAAAAACATCTAATAACTGTTAGATGCTTTGGTTATTTATTTGTTTGCTTGTTTTTTGTTTATTTATTCCTTGAGGCTTTACAGTAGCTAGGGCCTAGAACATAGCAGGTGTTTAGTTGAAGTGAAATGAATGAATGAAAGGCTACTCAAAAAACCATCTCAGAGATATATCTCCTTACATTTAAGAAGTTTTTTTAAAAAGTACATTCCATGATTCACCTGAATGACATGTTTAAGTAGCTTACAATTCCTACACTGAGAGATTTGACAGAAGACATGTGATAGAATCATCTTTGGGAGAAAGATGGTTCACTTAAAAAAGTATTCTTGTTGGAATTTTCATGTTGTTATGATTTAGATATGACTCAAAAAAAGTGCTACTTTTCTGAAAAGTTGCTCCTATGACTCCTAAAGATTTCCCAGAGAAAGGTCTTCCCAAGGAAAAATTTGATCACAAAAGTATACTAAAAGGGGCAACAATCCCATCTTCGGGCTTGGCGCTATTAGAGCCATCCTCAGGGGCGCCCGGGTGACTCAGTGGGTTAAACATCTACCTTCAGCTCAGGTCAGGATCCCAAGGTCCTGGGATCGAGCCCGCATTGGGCTCCCTGCTCAGCAGGGAGTCTGCTTCTCCTTCTCCCTCTGTCCCTCCCCCCTGCTCATGCTCTCTCTCACTCAAATAAATAAATAAAATCTTTAAAAAAAGAGCCATTCTCAGAGTAATTGGTCTTTTTGTTGCCACAGTGTCCTCCAGTGTTTCATAGCTTATGGGTACTTTTGGATACCTTAATGGGAAGCTAAGTACCTGCCTAATGAGTCCCTAACCTGGGATGGTACCTAAGAACCCTGGTCCAAGATTTGTACTGATGTACGCAATACCACAGGAGTGACAGGAAGACAGATAGGGATAGAAACCTCTGGTTCTTCTATTGCTTTGCATTATTCCAGGAGTTCTGTTAGAAATATGAGAATATGGGTCCCTCTTATTTTATGCTTTGCTGTTTTACAATGGGACTTGATTTAATGGGGTTTATCTGCATTATGATTATGATTATGATTATGATTATTATTCATACTTTTTAAACAAAACCTCACCCTGTAAATTTTAATACATTACATCTTGAATTTTCCTTTAAAATTTTAAAGACTTTTTTAAAGAGCAATTTTAGGTTCAATTAAGAAAAGGTATAGAAGTTTCCCATCTACTCCCTACACCCACACATGCATAGCCTCCCCCATTAACAGTCTCCCCCACCAGAGTTGTACCTTTGTTATAAGTGATGAAGCCTACATTGACACATAATCACCAAAAGTCCATAGCTTATATTAGGATTCAGTCTTGGTATTATGCCTATGGGTTTGGACAAATCTATAATGCCACGTATCCATCATTGTAATATCATACGGAGTATTTTCACGGCCTTAAAAATCTTATGTTCCATCTATTCATCCCTCCTCTGCCAAACCCCTCCTTTAAAATTTTTATTCTATTCCTGTGGCTCCTTCTATTCTACTATCTCTTAATGCACACATTTGTTTCTTCACTGGCAGATAATATATGGTGTAACCTTTGTTTTGTATATGCAGCAGGCAACGTTTTAAAGATTTGTGTTCTGTACTTTTCTCTAGCAATATGTTTTAGGGGCAAGTCTGCATTCTTTATGAATCTGGCCCTAAAACTCCATAGATTTCAATTGTTCTTAGAATCTGGTTATGTATCAAAAGATCTCTCTCTCTCTCTTTTTTTTTCAAAATATGGTGCCTAAAATGAAAAGCTGCTAGGTTGTTCATACACTGTGCTTTGAGGAACAGCTTTTCACAGATGGAAGGGCATAAAAATATGGGCTGTTATCTTGTAGCCTGAAACTTCACTCTCTGAACACATGAAATATCGATATTAAATCAGGCTGTACCTGGTTTCTTCCATATGAATCCTTCCAAGTTCTTGACCTCTGTTCTGTTGCTGTTTCATTTTAGGCAGAATTCCAGTGTCAAGGTGAGGATGGGGGGATCCATAGCCTCAGTGAAAGAAAAACTGACATTGGACAAGCTTCTTGTGTATTTTTGTAAATTCAGGGATGACAGAAAACAGTAAAAATAAGTATAGTGATGATATGGTCAAACGGATAAACATAGTTATTCAATGTGAACTGTTTCACTCATTTGCAATGACATCACTGAAAACTGACAAGCAGAACTTCTAATATTAACATGTAATAAATTATAAAAGAAAATAAATTCTATAGGAGATATTAATTATACAGAATATTAGTTAAGGTAATATTCACTACTATTAAAAAAAAAACAACAAAGCTTATAATGGCTCGTACACTTATTTCTCATTCATGTACAGTCAAAATGAGTATTCCCGATTAACTGGGGCTCACCTCTGGGTCCTAGGCTCCTTCCATATTGTGGCTCCACCAGCTTTAACACACAACTTCCAATGTTGCCATACTCCTCTGCATCAGTTCCTGTGAAGGAAAAGAGCATAGAGAATCTATCATGAGAAGGTATTTTATGCACCAAGCTCAGCAATGCTATAGTATCACTGCTATTTCTTCCTTGGACTAAAACTCAGTCACCTGGCTACACTTTAGTATAAGACAGTTTGGGAAGTGACATCTGGAAGTATATGCCCTGGAAAAGGAAGAGAAGCTTTTGTTGATGATCTAGAAGTCTTTGCCACTGCTAGCATACCTTCAGTAAGAACATCTTCAAAAACTGTCTTCTTAGATAATTTGGCAAGATCACAAGACCAGTGGTTATTGATATAAAGAGTCCTTTCCATTAAAAAAAAACTCATATTTTTAATATGTTCTGAAAATGCTGTCTGCCGTTCCAGTCCCTGTAATTGCCTTACCATTCTGGTTAGAAGCAATATAGTGAAAGGAAGTCATGTACACCTGGATTTTCCAACTTCACATAGACAGGAAAGCAGAAACAGTAACCAAACCCACATCTGTCAGACCATCAAACTCTAGAGGATTCTGCCTCTCATTGGCTACACTGGGTCTAATCCAAACCTGGGTGCTTAATATCTGGTAGAACAGCCACAGCATCATGAGGACATGAAAAAAAATCAAGAGGAAAGAAGCAAGAATTCTGGAGTATTAGTCATAAGAACTTTCAGTAACAGGTAACTCATGCTCTTTCCAGTGACTCCTGTATGGGTAACAATTATTCCAAGTTCTTTTTAATGACACTCATCCAATCAAGAGCACTTACATCTATCCTGGAGATAAATGTACACCTTTGGGAGGTTAACTATTTCAGAACCTGACACACAATTGTCACCAGGATTGTCCAATTGGCTCTCAGGGGGCCCAAACACCAACAGGAAGATTACTTTATTTTCTAGGGTCACCTTTGTAACCAAATTCTATTTATACAAGTTTTATTTCTAGCATTAAAAACTTATATTTCAAAATCAATTTTGTACGTGTTCTTCGAGGTATGTTAGCAGAATAGAAGAGTGACGTTTTTATGCTGAAATTCACTGAACGTTTACTATCTATCCCTGATATTTGTTCTTGAGCAGAAGCATCTCTCTCTTCCTTGCTCATTGTGTTAGTTTAGTTAAAAATCACTTGGAAAATCGGAAAAATATTCAATGTCATTTACATATAATCAGTAATAATTTTTTTCTAAACACAAGGGTTTCTGTGACTCAAGAATTGGGATTAATTTTCTTGAGGAAAAAAATACATGATGAATTAAATACATATCTTCAGCTGCCCACCTGATTGTGAGCAGTTTTTTGAGCATCGATTAAGTGAAGACATCATAGCACACTGAGCATGAGAAGAAAGGACATATTTGCCCCCTATGAGGCAAAGGTGGAGTGCTAATATATTCACTCAATATGAACCAAGAATATTTACGAAGCAATAAATAATAAATAGTAAATCCTCTTGTAAGAGGCAATAAATCAACAAATGACCAATCTTCTTACAGGATGGCAGCCTAAAGAAGTATTTGCTTTTAGGTTAGATGATGAATCTCTAGGAAGGAATTATTTAACTGATATTCATATGCCCTTGATAGGTTATTAAGCAAAACAGTTAAAAAAGCTAATTAGAAATCTAATAATCTGCTTTAATATTTAGAATTCATAAGACTGAGTAAATAAAGTAATATGAGAATATAAGAATTAATTCCATAATATATAAGTTAAAACAGAGGAAACTCCATTAATGAGAATTGTTTTCTTTCCTAGGACTGACCCATAAAAATGTTTCTAAAAATCCCTTTGATTTAGCAAAAGTGGGTGAAAAACTCAGTTTTTCAGTTTCAGTTTCTGTATGCTTATTTTTCTTGAGTGAAAAAAGAAAAGCTGGTTCCTGATCCTACAGCTCTTGTATGATCCTTCAGAGAAAAGGTGTCTTTAAGAAATGATCCACAAAGGAAAACCAAGGGAAGTACATATCAATCCCCCAAAAGCAGAACCTTAATAAAATATTTTAGCAGGAAACTTCATTTAGTGATATTATAGCATAGTGTTGATATCATTAGCCAGTGCTGATGAGCATTCCAACTACAGATCTAAACCCAAATTAAAAATACAGATTACTCTTTAGGTAAAAGAATTATTTTACCAAATGAATGAGGGAAACCTAGGCCTAAGTTATATAGCAATCAGAATATGCCTAAAAAAGAAAGTGGTGATCAAGTAAAGTTGGAAAGCAGCTTGGTCTAAAATCCCTTTCAAAATATAATGTCACCAAACTGACAGAAAATCAGTTTGTTTTTATTCTGTCTTGATTCTACAATTAACAATTTGCACTCTAAATTTAAAATGATTGCAAGCAATGTGGTAAAGATGACACACTCCTGGACCAAGTCCACATGCACCATCTATTGCTCCCCAGCTGTGTGAACTTGGGCAAGTCCCTTTAACCCTCTAGGTCTTGCCCCTGACACCACATGTACTTGAGGGCCCTCCATCCCGCCTGCCACATCCTGCTGTCCATCATTCTGCTCTCAGGGTTCTGACAGGCTGAAGATGCTGGCTGACTGTGGTAGGGTGAGTCTGGAAGATGGGTGGTCACCCAAGAGAGCTCTGGAGGAAAACCATGCTAGATGAGGTCTTTGAAAGTCTTTAGAAAAGACAGCTCATGCATTTCCAGAGTCATAAATTGTCACACAAAGCCAATGATCTCATTTTAATGATATTTGTTATTGAAAGAAATATGGATAACAACTTGTCTTAAAATCATTTCATGATGTTGTGGTAAATAATATCAAACCAGCCTGGATTGCTGGCATTTTACACCGCCTTTAAGTATTAACAAACAAACAAAAAAGAGACCTCCTGATCCTCCCTGAATAAAAACAGGTGGAAATGCAAAATCATTATATCTATGTGAAAAGAAAGAGTACATCTCCATTTCTGTCATGAAGTACAGTGACATGTTTGCAAAATTATTTTTATTTTGCATGTACCCTGTAGTGCTCAATATTTTAATTGCTACTTCCTCAATAAAATTACTGGAAATCTTCCATCTTGCCATTAGCACTTGCAAAATAACTGTTAACAATATGTTATCCAGACACAGAAACTTTATAATTAATGTTGGAATAGTCTTCAAAGTCTAGTGACTAAAATATATCCTATAAAAATTACTGGACTTCATTCAATGCTGTTCTGCTGTTTTAAAGTTCAGTAAATGTGTTAAGAGGGAGATATTTGGCAACCTAAGTTGGGCAGTCTGGCAGCGAGACCTGAGATGCTGGAAGTTTTGATTTCTGTTGTGTGGTAAATATACCAAAGGCCTCCACAGTTTCAGTGTAACCCCTGAACGGCGAAAGGAGATCTGACCAAAAGCAACTCCCGGTGGGAATCTGAACAGTCATTCGGGGCTACATTCCCACCTTGTCAGTTGATGAGGTGCTGGGACAGGTTCCATTTAAGCCATAAAACACAACAGACCATGTATATATCTGGGTGATTATAGCATAACTCAGATTGTGTTATAAGTCATGAGGCTGAAGGCCAAGTGTCTTAACTCCATGAGAAGTGCAATATTGGCCCGAAACACAGTGCCTGAAGTGTCTTATTGCTGTCAAGAAATGGAATTTCTACAGTACATTAAGAAAAGGAAAACACTTAGCACAGTGGATTTAAAATAGCCATGGCTATGACATCACTGACAGCTAATCAAAACTCTAATTGCAACCAGAGTTCTGAGGTTATTGTATAAAAGGTCTTAAAGACACAGCCATGGATGCAAGGGAGAATGATGCCAAGGCCATGGGAAGAACTCCAGTAGCACAGGATCCTGAAGAAAGAATGGAAAAGGTCGGCAGATTTCAGACGATCTCATTAGCAGTGAATTGGTAACGTTGTCATTAACTTGCCTTGAGCAATTTAAGCCAAAAAAAAAAAAAAAAAGCAAGCGGTGCAAACCCTTTTTGAATATTTCTCAGTTGCAGTCTTCATGTTCATACAGTTAACTATTTTTTTCAACAATTACGAGATGAGGCAGCATAAATGGGAACAAAAATCCAGTCCAGGTACCTTCGAAGAGATGAAAGATTACAATGAACTGAGAAGAGTTTGGGGGTCACATGTTGCTCATTATCCGTGCAAGGAATTTCTAGTGTTACTCAGTTGAAGCTGTCCAAAAGGACTGAAGTCACTATGTGATCATAAGGACCCAGTTCAGATCTTACATCTGAAACTGCCTAATACCACAAAGTGGAACGCGCATTTCAAGGTCCAGTTAACAGCTTCTATAAATTTAGCTATGCCAAAGCACACACTGAGAGAGGCATGTTCAGAAGGTGCCACAGGGAGGCATATAACATCATAAATGAGAGCAAAAAAAAGAGCTTGCCTCAGGAGTTGGAGGATTTGTGCTTAATGATTTTCTGGGTCACCATGGATAAGTATTTAATTTTTGTGAGCTTTAGTTTCCCCCCAATGGACTCTCCTTGAACTCTGGTTATAGGCATTGCTTCCTCGGGCTCAAAAAGAAGCTACTCTGCCATTTCCTGAAAGTTCACTGACAAAGTCATAAAGAGGCAAAATATACTTAAAGAGATGCTGCCTTTGACACACCATGGAACACGCATGTATATTTGTAAATAAAAGTTACATAGGAACTTTGCCATCAGTTGTAAGCAATTACTAATGCACTTTTACTAACGATATCAGAGCAAGAAATTCTTCATGTTCTGTGGGTAAAAACAAGCAGCAGTTTATCCCATCAAAGAGTACACTTAAGTTCTGGAGCAAAGGCTCCACAAAATCATGTTTATCTCGTTCTTCCCAATTTTTTTTTTTTTTGGAAATTTTTACCTATATCGTTTCTGTCAGCCATGATAATAATAATTGTACACTACCTGTGACAAAATATTTCTAATAGTTTTGTTCATATGTATTTCCAATAATCTCTATTTATATCACTCTGGCTTCCTTTGGGGAAAAAAATGTTAAGTGAGTAACCAAATGGCTAACTTAGATATAAGT